AGATTAACCTAAGAAGTTATATGCATATATGCATAACTCAAGGACACAGACAATGATGTGGGGAAGGCCTGGGGGGGTGCAGGTGGATGTGGGGTGGAGGGGATCAATGGAGGGGAAAAGGGGGGTATATCTGTAATATTTTCAACAATAAAGATACATTTAAAAAATCAAAAAACACCAAACTAGTTTCCTTAAGAATGGCTAGGGAACATGGAGAGATGGCCATGTTCTTAGACATATAATTTTCCCATTAATGAGTAACCTTACCCCGCTTCCTTCCTTGATCCAATAACCCAACCACCAGTTGCTGAAGGCAGTACTGCCCACATTCAACACGAAGAGGGATATGATGAACAGGAAAGCCAGGGGGCCCCCGGCAGCCTGAATGTAGACACCGTACACTGACCATGGCACTGAACCCTGCCCCTTCTCTTCCGCTTGCACCAGCTGCCCTAGGTAAGAAAAAAGCAACATGAACTCAGAAGAAAAAAGCTACTTTTCCAAAACAAAGTCACCTATAGAAGAGCAAAATTAAAGACAGCCTATAGTTCCACAGGGCTCTAGATCAGAATTATTTCCTTTTTATCAGAAGCATTCATTCATCCATTTGACATTTACTAAGCACCTCCTATAAGCAGGCCCAGGATGAGGCCCTAGAACAGTAAAAACGAGTAAGATCAGGTCCCTGCTCCTGAGATCTGCCTGAGGATAATTCCACGGTCTAGGAGAACAGACAGATAAATAACACATAATTCTGATAAAATGTGTTAAATGCAATGCTAGAGCTACATGCAGGGCAGCCTGGGAACACCCAGGGGGGTTTCAGGAAAGACTTTATGTGTAGTCCATATTGCACCTCAAAGGTAAGCCAGAGTCGGCCAGGTAGGGAAACAATAGGCAGAGGAGATACTGTTAGCAGCCACACAGAGGTGGGGAAACACCAAGCCAGCACAGCTGGAACATTGTGTGTGCCAGCAGAGTGGCCAGGATCAGGTGGATTAGGCCAGCTGTGCTGTCAGAGGTGTTTGAATGTTATCCTTCAGACAAGAACTTGGCACGAGAATGGGCTACAGGGTTGTGCAGATTTGACTCCTAGCCCTATTGGGCTAGATGGGCCTGAGATGGCCAGTCCAGTCACCTCTAGAAGCAAGCAGCTCTTCCATGCATCCCAGTGTCCCACACAAATAATGGCATTTTTCCACATCAGGAAAAAGATTAGAAAACAATGCTTTGAAATGGAAGGAGGCCACTGTAAGACTCCATGTAGGAAGGTGAGCTGGTTGGTCTCCTGTTTTCAACTATGTCTCCCAGCTGTCTGCATGGAGGAGAGACGGCAGTAACACTAGGTGCACAATGATAAAGGCCAGAACCAGGGTCATGGCAGTAAGGACGGCTGTGAATTCAGTAGGACATGGTGATTGCTGCAGGGGGAGGGAAAAGATTTAAGGATCGCTCCTAGGGGCTCCCTGGTGTAGGTAGGTGGTTGATGCTAAGTGACTGATGCTGACGTAAGAAATACAGAGAAAAAGCCCTACAGGAAACCTCTTTTTCTTCACCATACATCTTTAATTATCTTGGAACAACACATGGGCCAGGAGTACTTTAGCAGTTGAGTCCCCAGGCTAGCAGCTCTGTAGATAAGAACAATGCTTTATAAGGACATTCTGGTTTTTTTGTACTGCCTCGGGCAGGAACTGACAGATACCTCAGGCTTCTGTTCAGTATTTAGTGTGTGTGAGTGAGCTATCCTAACTCACACCTGAATTCAAAACTGACGCCTGGTTTATTAAAAGAAAGAAAAGAGGCAGGGAGTGGTAGATCCGGATGGTCAGCTCCTAATACCAAACACCTGCTGCAGTTTTAAGACCAAGGAAGTGAAAACAGTGGCAAACCCAGGATCCAAAACCTGATTCAAAACCTCAGGTGAGGAGGTGACACGACAGAAAGAGAGCTTTAAAATAGGACGGCATTCTTTTGGGGAGGGGCAGGAGTACAAACTGACATGCACCTTAAAATTCACCAAGATGAAAACATCTGGAATATTATAAATTGCTTTTCTAATTCCCAAGATTTGTTTCAGTTGACTAAGAGAAAGTGTTGAAAGAACAGGACTCTAGATGGGGAAAGTCGGGTGGGAAAAACCCTAGGTGTAATTTCACCATAGATGTGGGGCAATCTCCGAGGAGTGTACCACTCTAACAGGGAGCTATTGAGAACACAAGCATTCCTGGAGCTGGACCGCTTCTGCCCTGGTTGGCACTGACTTTTAAAGGGCAGAGGTGAATCAAGGAAGGACGGGTATACCTCTACCCTTTTTTCATACGATGACTCAGCTATGATTACCTATACCTGACCCCGCCCCCTCCCGAGTAGGAAAAGATAGGATCAAAGGCCATTCTTACTGCCTTGGTTTGTTTAAGCAAGCAGAAGGAGCCTCATGGTCTCCTGATGTTACATAAGAATTTTGTTATTCCAGCAGTATAAGGGGAGATACTCTACAACACACAGTGTTATCAAACATCATGAATTACCACATGGCATAATTTCTGATAAACTTTAATGACAAATTTAAAATCTCAAAAAAGGTCATTACCTTCCTCGGGCTTCACTGCCTTCTCCTTCTTTACTGATCCTGTTTTAGGACCCTTGTCTTGTGACTTCTGTGAGCCACTGGTTTCCTTTTTTGAATTAATCTAATATTTAAAAAAAAAAAAGTGTCTCCATTTATGATATGGCCATTCAGAAAAATGTCCACAAGACATATGAGAGAGTATACCATAACAGGGAGCTATTGAGAACACAAGCATTCATCTATCAAGCTGCTGCTTTATTGAAAAGAGATACATTCAACTTCTTAAAAGGGCCACCTAAAACTCATTTCTCAACTCCTTCAGTCTTTGAGATCTGGGTTCCTACCCTCTTATTCTATTGACATTGCTCTTCCCAAAGTCATGGAAGACCTTAACTCTTTCATGTTTTCATCCACTCCAACTTGTCCAAAGCATTAAGGCTGAGGTCATTTCCATTCCTCCCACCTCTGATCCGAAATCACTAAATAAAAGCACAGAGCCGACCATTTCCCACTGCTACCACAGGATATCCTCAAACCTCTCCATCTGGTTTTGTAAGACCTCCACGTTCTGCCCAAGCCCAGCTGTAAATTCCTCTCCCATTCCTGGGGCTCCTACTCTCACACCACACTGGATTTCCTGCCATTCTTTATATCACTGTGAATCAATATTGGTTCTTCACTTGGAACGCCCCTCCCTTTGTCCCAATGTAGTCACAGTTGTCTCCCTTCAAACAAATTCAAATCTTACACCCTCCCTAAGGTTAACTCGTGTCCGAACGTTGCTGACAGTTCACGAGATAACTCGTATCTGCACTTACATTAATTTAAGTCATTTTAAACAGCTTGCTGACCCATCAGGACAGAAAAGTAGCTGGCCACATGGGCAAGTTCTGGCTCGAAACATTAGCAAGCTGCTTAACTTTCCCGATCTTCCATTTCCTCAGCTGTAAAAGTGAGGGATAATCGTACTTTGCTACAGAGCTTTATTTAAATAATAAAATAGGATGACATCTATGAAGTGCCTAATCTAGGAACTGGGACATAGTAGTTGTTAGTTAATGAGTGCCAACTCAGCAGCCAGGACTCCCTGGATCATTTTCAAACGTATGCCACGATTAATTTCTCTTCCCTGGGTCCTTATTCACTTGTTTATTGAAAAAGGAGCTTCATATGCTTCAGCCAGGATTGATGGAGTTTTTGAAACTAAACTATGACTGAACAACGAACACATTGTGGACCCTGTAAAAAAAAAAATCTAACCGAAAGTAACCTCACAGGGTGATCTAAACATTAAAATTCCTAACTAGGCAGGTCACAGTGGGTAGTGATGCCCCAGGCCCACAACTTCTGTGTAAAAGGTTGTCAAAGCCCTGTCCGTCGTTCTCATGCATCTAGATTAACAAACCTCTAAATGCCAGAAATCAGTCTTTTCCCAGCCCCCTCTAAAGCTTAACTACCCTCAAGAGAGCACATCCTCTTGTTAACTGTCATCTAATCTAATCTCTGCCTTGCATTCTCCCACCTTCATGTAGCCTTCCTTATGTTCCCTTCTTAATTCCAAATGTATAAAGGAATCTGCAAACTGGCATTCCCCAGAGCACTTGAGACCTTGCTTCCCAGCAGTGTCATCAGTTTGGCTCAAACAAATTCATAAAAATTCTCTGCAGGTTTGGATGTTTCTTCCTTCGACAACACACAGAGCCCATGCTGTTCTCCTTGTCACTGCCTCATAAGTTCTCAGTGACAGAGTCCTTGGCTCACCAGCCCCACAATCCTGCTCTCCTAGAGTAGAACTAGTATGTGAACCAAAGCACAGCAGTCTGGTCATCAGAATATAGGACTCCGCCAATAAGACACAGGCACTGAATTCAGCTGAGGCCCGGCCATCATTCAGTAAGGTCAGGCCTCCCTTGATAGAAAGGAGATGCATACAAACGCCATATGACTCTTACCTCAATTGGGGGTGTCTCTCCCAGCAACAGGTTATTAAAAATGGTAGCATAATCACCATTTAGATTCATCAGTTCCTCATGGGTCCCCCTTTCTGTAATACAGCCCTCTTTCATGAAAATCACTTTGTCACAATCAGCCAGGTACTAGAGACAAAGGCAGGGAGAACATGGTGTTGATGATATTTGTGCAAATGCATCCAATCACTCATACCTTAGTCTAGCGGTCTTACCTGGGAGTGATTGAGCCCCCCAGAGGACATCTAGCAATATCTGGAGACACTGTTGGTTGTTACAATTGGGAGGACAGAGGCCAGGGATGCCTAGGACAGCCCCCCACATCAAAGAGCTATGTGGCCCAAAATGTCAACAGTGCCAAGACTGAGAACTTCTGCTTTAGTTTATTGTGCCTTGTGATGTAGTTCCAAGTGCAGTTCCTCCAGTTTTTGACGTAAATCTACTGGTGGAGCCACAGGAACCTTGTATTAAACTTCATACCCTTTTACTACATTTCAAAGTACATACAATTAACTTTCTGCGGCAGAATGAGGGGGTTAACCCACAAACTTGACAACATATGCAAAGCAAATGGCAACATTCTTGAGCTGCTCTCCAAAGTGGCTGCTGAATGACAGAGGGAGAAGACCTTGTTTTCCCTAAACAGTCCCCACTGAAATCAACATGATGCTTTTCACACTATCTCAGACCCAAACTCTATTTTCAGCTTATCCCTTTTACTTACTAATTTACGTGCAGAAGCTAACATGCTCCAAAGATCTCTGATTCAGATAGCCACCTAGTACACTGGTACAACAAGCTTTATTGGTATAATGGGCCAGGCAGCTATTTGCTGAGAAAATGAATACCGATGGTTCCAAGAACTTCTAGGAGACCACAAAGGTACCTAAAAGGATTAAGCAGCCTTCCTCCGTCTCTGATTTCTCAAGCCACAGTGGGCAGCCTGGGGAAGGAAGAAAGCACCATACCTGTAGCTGGTGGGTAACAAACAGAACCGTCTTGGACTTGAGGTGCTTCTGGATAGCGCTGTTGAAGATGTGGTTGCCCACATGGGCATCTAAGGCACTGAGGGGGTCATCTAGGATGTAGATGTCCCGGTCACTATACAAGGCCCGGGCAAGGCTGATCCTTTGGCGCTGCCCACCACTCAGGTTGGTTCCTCGCTCGCCAATCTACAGGAACCCAGAAAGCATAGTGAAGTCGCCAGCTCAAGTCTAGAACTGAGCTTAGTGATCACCCCAGTGACCCCTCCTCTCCTCCACCCAAAGTGTCTCCTTCTACTGAATTCCCCACCTGGATGAGAGGCCACTATGACCCTCCAGGGCCCTCAAAGGAACTGGGGGAGTCAGCCCAGATGCCTCCTTCTCTCCCACAATCATCTGGTTACTAAGCAATCCTCATCTGGCCTTGCCACTCCCCCTGGACACCCCACTCCAGTCCATTCTCTGTGGGCAGAATGAGCTTTCCAAAACACAAAGCGACCATGTCTCACCCTTGCTTAAAACTCTTCAAGAGCCCTGAAGGATAGAATCGAAACAATCAAACATGGCATACAAAGCAGGTTCCCCAGCAGCTCTCAGCATCCATTGCCAACCCCCCTGGCACACCCTGGGATCTAAGCCATTTTAAATTGTGTGTATATTATAAACACACATGACTACTGTCATGCCTTTTCCCGAACTATGTCAGCTCAGTTCTGGCATCCTCTCCTCTGTAAAACCTCCTCTCGCTTTTCTTCACTAACACTCAAAAGAAAGGGGAAGCTTTTTCATTAGCTTGTTTTGTGCCTCATGTGTGGGTGTCCCATCTGCTCCAAGGTAAGCTTTCTCAGGGCGCAGGCTGTCTTATTCCTTTGTATTCCCAACACCCAAAAGTGTCTGCACATGCAGGTGGCACACAACAAGCACCTGATAAACATTACTAAGTGGACAAGTGAATATATCAATTGTCAAATGGTAATGGGCCCTGTAATTTTAAAAAGTCTTGTCCTTAAAAAAACATTTAGTTAATTCAAAGGTTTTCACGCTTGAGCAGGTATCAGAGTTACCTGCAGGGCTTATAAAAAGAGGTTGTTGGGCCCCACCCCTAGAGTTTCTGATTCAGTAGGTCTGGAGAGGGGCATTTACATTTCTAACAAGTTCCCAGTGTCACAGATGCTGCTGATCTGGCGATCTTGATCTGAAGGCAGTACTAATTCAACTATTTACCAAATCTGGTTTGAGAGATTTAACTAAAGTCAGCTGAATACAAGTGCCAGCCCCAGAGACCTCCAGGGCTGGTCATGGGAGATGTCTGAAGATTCAAAACACCAGTTCCAAAGACCCAGCTCTGGAAACTGCTCCAGGGCAGAAAGAACCAAAGAAAGAGGGATTTATGCAGCGGCCTCTTTCTTTCTAATGGAAGAGGGCTCTCTACAGACTGTATCTGAGCTGAGCAATGAGGCTGGCAGAATGAGGTTCAGGGAAGAAGCTCAATGCGCACATGCTTGACTCATGTTTTTAAAAATGAATACTGTAGAAAATATGAACTCTGAACCAACAATGGGATTTTGTTTAAAATCCATCTATTTATATGCTTAAACAGGTAAGTCTTGACACTTGACACCCCTGCCCTAAGGCACAAATGCTTTCCAACATAAAGTCCTAGTGAAAGTGAACCTCACTGCGTAGGTTTTTTCCCCCATGCATTTAAGAGCCCTGGGAGGTGGCTCTGGTATAGCCCTGCCACCCTTCTCCCAGGATCCTCTGCTACATACATGCCCAATCAGGAGCAAAAGGCTTGTACCTCGGTCAGGTCACTGTTGGGGAGAATGGCCAGGTCAGGCCTCAGGCAGCAGCTGTTCAGCACGGAGTTGTATCTGAAGAACATAAAGAGATCCAGCATCAGAATGCGGCTGGAGCTGAGCCTGTGGCTTGGGCTGCCTTGCGTCTCACACAGCCAACACAGAAAGTATGACAGAAACCAAGCACTCCTTGCCTTTCTTCATCAAATTCCTTCCCAAAGAGGATGTTGTCTCTCAGAGAGGCATTGAGGATCCAGGCCTGCTGGGCCACGTAAGCGAAGGTTCCACTGACTGCAATGCTGCCCTCTAGAAGTGTCATCTGGGGAGACAGACACCATCCAATGGCATCAGAGTGCAAAACCATCATGCTAAGCCAACAGAACCCCCCACATTCCACAGTGAAGTTGAAAGTTTTGGAAATTTCCTTGGATGCTTTTTGGACCCAAAGTCATACCTCACCTTTGTTCCACAGAGAGCTGCAGCAGCAAAGAAAATCCAAGGTCTCCTTGCTTATGTGTGATGGGAGCCCAGCACAACTCAAGACTTGAATGAACCAACACTTCATTCAGCAACCTATGAGCTACTCTATATCTTTTCTTCCTAACTGCAAACTGTTTTAATTAAGGGAAGCACAAGAGGAAGGCCCTTTCAGAATCTTCTGGGGAGTATGCTGTAAGGATTTACAGCCTCAATTTCAGGACTGGCCAACTCATCTACAGAATTAATCCAGGCTATTGGATAGAGCAGCTGCTTGTGTAAAATGAGGACCAAAGGAAAAAAAATTCCAGTTCAACATCAACTAGTATTATAGAGTATCCATACAGTGATGGCAAACCCTCCCCTCCAACATGAAGAAACTACATGATGAGCCATTCACTTTGAATTGTGTTTTCAGTCATGGTAATTGATATGAATTGATTTATCCATTTTACCTTCTTTCAGGGTTCCTTTTGGGACTGACTGTTGACAATTTGTCTTGGGTGAGGGATGCTATAACTTGGAACAAAGTTTCAGTAACCAGCCTGTGTAGTTCTTACACATATAAGCTTGTCCTCTCAAATACTGTAATATACAGTGTATACATACAGGTGATCACTAAGCCCGCTTCCAGGCACAATGCTGTTTAGGGGTGGGAATGCAGTGGGGGTGGGGGGAGGGGAGATGCAGAGGAAGGGTTCATTTTGTTTCTAATTTTCCTGATTCTCTTCAGGAAATAAATTCATTTTTCCTGAGACCCTTGCTAAGCAGAGTTCAAAGAAGCAGAAAATGCCAAGGACAATAACAAAATCTTACCTGGCCTAAAATGGCTGAGATGAGAGAGGTTTTTCCACTTCCCACACTGCCACAGATTCCAACCAGCTTACCCTGGGAAAAAGCACAGAGCGATCGGGAAGGTCATCAAAGGACTACTGATCACTCATCTCCAGGGACTTCCTATTTCTTTGAGGAAAAACACATTAACTACAGTTCATCAGTATGAAAACTGCCTCTCTTCTCTCTTTTCTCTTAACCTCTTTTCTCTCTTGTCAGCCACCTACTTCATAGGGTTTCTGTAGAGGTGCAGTAAGGTAGCAGATGTACAAGCTTATGGAAAAATTAAATATGCCACACACATTAAGGTATCCCATATCACTTTTAAAAAGACCCAGTCCCTTTCCTACTTTGCTGGTAATCTACGTTTTTTGATTGTTTATTTTGTTGTTGTTTTTGGAAGAGAGAACAGAACTCATTTTAAAAAGTTATTTTATTATGATTTTTTCCTCTAGGGCCTATAAATTATTTTCAATAAAAACTACGTTTATTGTTGCTTCCACTTTTCTATAAAACATTTCCGAGACTGGGGAATCTCTATACCATCAATCCCACATAAAAGTGAAAAACCAAGCCTATGATTAACTGAATATCCTCAGCCAAAATAATGTGTTCTCAATGGGCAGTGGTAAAAGTTCTCAAGAACAGAGAGATGATTTTAACAGGGCCTTTTGTTTAGCAGCCTTGTATTGGATGAAGTCTCACAGCAAAGGAAGGAATGAGGACTGGTGGGTAGAGAGCATGGATTCTGGAGGCAGATCAAGACATCATTTTGATCTGAATCCCAACTTCACTAGCACTTGACAATTGTTTACTCTTGGCCTTGTTGCTTAAACTAATACTGTCTCTCCCAATGGGCTTTGAACAACTTGAAGAAAGGAGTTATCCTTGTAGAACCAAGTACTTAATAAAAGTATGTGGGAAAAACAAAGTTTTTATATGGTCCAGGAGTTTGGAAGATTACAGTGTGGTAGTAATGAGAAGACCAAATCATGATTCAATCTCTGCTCAGGTCAGTTAGGTTTACACAAAGAAAACTCTGCTCTGATAACTGAATGGTGACTAAAGGAGACATCAATGAAGTAAGTGAGACATCAGAAGACATTAAGTTCCCTTCCCCTCCCTAAAGAGCAGGTGTCAGGAGAATTATGGTCTCTCTCTTCAAAGAGCTCAAGTTCTGTGGGCTCTAAAGGGCAGAAGGAGGATCAGTAGAAAGTAGGAGAGTGAATTTCCACTATGAGGAATAATCCACTAATACAGAGCTGATTAGCAATGTGATAGAGCTGCCTCAATAATCACATCACTATTCAATAAGAAGCCTGTTAAGAGCTAACTAAAGTTTGGAGGACTTGAATGCCCTCCGAACAACCACTAGTTGTTTCCAGTGGTCTCACCAAGGACCATCTCCCCATTTAGTTATAGCTTTCAAGAGCTGGGAGCTTTTCATTCTCCTGCAGTCTAGCTCTGGATCTGTGTGACATGCTTCTAGTCAGTTGTTGACTCGACATACACCACATTAGAACCCAGTACCCCCTACTTCCAGTGATGGAGGTAAACATTTCTTACCACCACCCTTGGTCCAAGGCACCCTAATGTTTCCCCTGGGTTAATGGTTCTCCTTGCTTCCTTCCTGTTTCCCTACATACTCTTCTGAATACAGAAGCTAGAATGTTTCTCTCCTACATAAGTCAGGCCACATTATTCTTCTGCTTCAAACCGTCAATGGCTTCTCTTTGCACTCAGAGTAAAGCCAAAGTTGTTGCAGGAGGCTCCAGCACCTCCCTCCCTCTCTGCCAGGGGCATCTGCTAGCTACTTTCTCCTGTGCTCAGTCTGTTCCAGTAATAGACCTCAGGGTCTCTGAGCTTCTGTTCCCTCTGCCAGGAACGCTCTTCTTCCCCAGATAGCCACATGACTCATTCCCTCACCCCTGCAGGTCTTTGCTCAAACAAGCCCTACCACCTTCTGACATACAATATACAGTAGTCTCCTCTATCTGCGGTTTCCTTTTCTGTGGTTTCAGTTACTTGTAGTCAACTGTGGTCCAAAAATATTAAATGGAAAATTCTGGAAATAAATAATTCCTAAGTTTCAAATAGTGTACCAATCTGACTACTGTGATGAGATCTCATACAGTCCTGCTCTGTCCTGCCCTGGATGTGAATCATCCCTTTGCCGAGAGGGTTTATGCTGTATGTGCTCCCTGCCCCTTAAGTCACTTAGCCGTCTGGTTATCAGATGGACTCAACTTAAACATGTTAAAGACCCGCTGTAAAGTGCTTCCTGTAAGTGAAATGGTGAAAATTCTCGACTTAAAGAAAAAAATTGTATGTAGAGGTTACTAAAATCTACGGTAAGAACAAATCTTCCACCCTTGTTATTGTGAATAAGGAAACAGAAATTCATGCTAGTTTTCCTGTTACACCTTAAACTGTAAAAGTTATGGCCACAAGTGCATGATATGCCTTAGTTAAGATAGAAGAGGCATTAAAGTTTTGGGCAGAAGACATGAACAGAAAACATAATCTGAATGACAGCAATGTGTTACACCAAAAGCACTGAGCTACATGAAGACTTCAGCAAGGGATCCCTGAAACAAGGGACACCAGCCATTGCCTGTAAGTAAGGGAGGGTTACACAGATTCAGGAATAGGTTTGGTCTGAAAAATATAAAAATTATTGGAGAAAGAGAGACCCACCTCATTTACATAACTTTTATTACAGTATAGGGCATAATTGCTCTATTTAATTAGTTATTATTATTAATCTCTTACTGTGCCTCATTTATATATTAAACTTTATCACAAGTATGTTTGTATAGGAAAAACCACTAGGGGTCAGCACTATCTGAGGGTTCATGAATTTACAGGGGGTCTTGGAACATAGCCCCCACTTGTTTACTGTCTGTCTTTGCCCACTAGAATGTAAGCTCCAAGAGGAGAGAAATTTTTGTCTGTTTGGTTTTCCCCCACTATATCTCAGCCCTACAACAGTGCCTGGCATAGGGTTGGTACTCAAAAATGGCTGTTAAATGGGTGAATGTATTACCACATCTGGGACCCTCTGAATGATGTAGCCCTCAACGTGGTGCTGGCTCCCAGTCATATTCTGTACTTTAAAAACCTTGAACCAGGAGTGTCTGTTCCAGCCACTTTTTAAAGGAGGGCCTCTGAGAGACTGCAGTCCTGTGCTGCCTGGGCTGTGATATCATATGCCATACGATCCTTTACTTGCATTAAAAATAAACAATCACAACAGAATTGTCGATAATAACAACGCTGAGAATACCTATTACATTCCAGGTTCCGTGTTGTGCACAGCCTAGTGATAATGAGAAGCTTACACAGAGTTATAATCACCAGAAACAATGATTACAGCTCACATACAACTACAATAACCAGAAATCTATTCAGGGCAAAATCTTGGAAAATCCACATGAATGCTTCATTTCCTTGCTTATAAAATGAGTATCTCATGAGACCAGTTGTTATTCATTTCTATTGTTAAACGCCTAAATATTCCCTTTAGAGTGGAGTTGGCCAAAATTGCTCATTGGTTCAAAATCATTCCCAGCCACAAAAGAACTTGGCTAAAAGGAAGGGCAGCTGCCTGCTCTTGCCAGAATAGACACCTGGTGGACAGACAGGGAGCGGGGAGGCTCAGCGGTTACCTCTTCGATTTCCAGGTCGATGCTGTACAGCGTCCTCTGCAGGCGGAGGCTCCCCAGGTAGATGTGCTTGCCCTCTTCCTCCTCGGGACTGGGCCGCTCGTCGCTGTCCAGGAGGAGGCGGCCCTTCTGTTCTGCCAGCGCCGCCTGGTGCTCGGTGTGCTCCAGCTGCCTCCCCTTCTCTTTCTTGCCCCTGGCAGCCCTCTTGTCTTTTTTCGTTTTGGGGGTCAGCTTGGGTGAGTTCTGGATACTGGAGTGGGAGGAGTCCCATGCCAAGGTGGCATTTTTCACCTCTATCTTGATGTGAGGACTGGCTGGCTTTTTCTTTATCATGTGAACCTCTTCCATCAGAAACAAACTCTGATAGGAGTTGTGAGAGAGGTGCAAAGATGAGACACTGGATCAAGACCAGGGAGACAAGCCTAGGGCGTACACTCACGCAGCAAAACACATCAGGCTATACAGTGGAAGGAAGCTGAAGGGCAAAAGGTAGCTCATTAGTGTAGCCCAACCTCAGGCCCAGCAAGAGGTCATGGGGGTGTGGGGACACCCTCAGCAGGGACAGGGGCCTTGTCAATGGCCTAACACTCCACACTATAATTACATGCCATAGCTTTTCATTTTCTACCAGTCTCATGTGACCAAAGGACATTTAACTTTAACTAGCCCATATGTGGGCCCTGTTCTCACCCATGGATTGCTGAGTAGCGGTGGGAAAATGCAAGCAGAAAAACCAAAGAGCATGCTGCTCTCCTACACAGACCCTCATCGCTCTGTTTCCCATCCAGACCGCTCCTGCAGAACCTCAAAGCCTGTGCGCTTCCCTCACCCATGTTTAGGGGGAGAGACTGACCTGAGATCATGACCAGGCCTAGCTTGCTCAGGTTAGAAAGAAGGGCCTAAAGTTTTGTTGATGGTAGAGCACACCTTCTTGCCAATAAGTTCTCATGTCTTCAGAATCCTGCCTTGGAACTTGAGAAAACTCAAACCACCAAAGGAATGGACTTGTGTGGAAGTGAAGGGTATCCCCTCAGAAACATCCTTGGGAAGAGAACGAAACTCCTTCCCCACACATTCCTGGAGTCCTACTGAGTTCTGTGAGGAAGAAAACTGGAAGGCTTGAAAAGCTAAGTGTTCCTGAAATCAGATCTGAAACACTGACCAGAATAAATCTCCGCCCATGACTCTGAACCCCTTCTGACAACTCCCTTAAACCAGTGGTCTTCTCTACAGAACAGTATCCCAATTGGAGTACCGATATGATAAAAACATATTTCTTAAATAAAAAAATTTTAAACATTAGAAAGTCTTTAGAGAAAAACTGATTTCTCAGGGTCAGAACTCTCCACTTAGTTACTGAGAACCCCTAACTAGTTTAAAGTGTGCAGGTGTTACTCAATCATCATACAATCCCCCTCCCCGAAAGCAAACCCTTTCTGCCAGATCCAAAACTCCTAAACTTGCTCTTTTCCTCCCTTAGATCGCCACACCTCCTATTTAATCCTACTCTCCAATCTTCCCAGAAGTGGCATGGTTCTAAATCTCCTAGATAAAAAGAAAACAAAAGAAATCTCCTAGATAATCTTCACACTTAGTCAACGTCAGGTTTAGTTCTGGGAAACAGCTGTTAGTTTCATTAGTTCAGAGCCTCCCTGAAAGACTGAGCTAAGAATAACTTGCAAATAGTCACCACCTTCACACAGTAAACCATACGGTGACGGGATTCCCATCACTGCTCTCCCCTAAAGAGTTACTAAAAGGACCTTTTAAACCTCAGCAGATTATTTAAAAAGGTGCTTGGGTCTCTAGTTTACACAGCTCCTTCCCCACGTTTCCTTCCCACAGGCTCCGTGCAGCCCCACACCCTCCCAGGAGGATTTCAGCTTCGGGTCACTCTGCCAGGAGGTGCTGAGTCGAAACACGTGAATTTATATCTACTCGGATTTGCACCCGCCAGTACAACAGAATCTTAGAGACGCAGAAACCACAGACCTCAACTTTACAGCAGGACAACGACCATCGAAACACTACCCTCATTCCCCCTCGGGAGAATCAACTCAGAATGTACTTGTTAGGCAGAAGTGACTACGTGCAGGGCTGCCGGCGAACATACAGGATGATGGCAGATAAACAGTGAATAATTTGTCAGTGTAAGTATGTCCCATGCAATTATTAAACGGATGTTCTGTGCCTTTACTTGCTAAAGCTGGCAACCTTATACTGGTGACAGTCAGAAGAGTCACAGGGTCGCTTCTCACGGGCTTTCTACAGAGTGTCATCCTCCTAGGAGAAGGGGAGGGCAGAAGGAGGCTGGGGAGGAGGAGACTGCCAAGAGGAACAGGACAGAAAGGGACTGAAGTCTCATGGGGCACATAATAAAGCTGTGGCTGATTGTGCTTCCTTTATGAACTCTGAAGCTTCCTGAAAAGAGGAAGGAGCTACGATGAGAAAAGCCACCTGCTAATACAAGTCCTCTCTAGTAAGTGAAGGGAAGAGAGCTCTTGAGAAACAAGGGGAAAACAAATCTATACCACAAACTCCCATTTCTACATCCAAAATGTCACCAAATCCACTCACTAACAAGGAGGGGGACACACATCTATAGTCAAATCATTTTCCTTCTTCCCTGACTGGATATTGTGGGTTCAGCAAAATAAAGGTCTGGTTACAATTAGACCATTTCTTTTTATATGGTTCTGGCTCTTAGCCTTCTAGCAGCCAGGTTGGGGTGAGGGAGGGCAGGGGCTGGGGGTGCATTCTTAAACAAAATTCACCTAGTTAACCATAAACGAGTAGAATATAAAAAATCTTGGGAAGCTATTCTTCATTCTTCTTAAGAGGTAAGCACAACTTGTTTTCTCCTGAACATCCAAGGTGATGATATTAATCCCTCCAACACCTGAGCCTCAAGCCTTCCAGCCACCAGCATTGCTTGTTTTACAGCAGGAGTGCAGGAGCTGCTCTGCAGTGGCTTTGCCAAGGAATCCCCGCCCATGCCGGTGCTGTTCCTTTTCTTTTTTTAAAGTATTAACCACTTTCAAATATCTACCTCCCTCCACCCTCCCAAATACACCTCCCTCTCACACCATGTATAGTATTATTATGGAGGCACAAAGAACACAGTCAGGGCATGACCAATAAACCACCCCAGAAAAACACCTGGTACTTCTGCATTCCTCAACATGATCTAGTTTTACAACTACCCCATGTCACTGGAGTCCCTGCATCATGAGTGGCAACCACAGGCCAGGAAAAGGAAAGTATCAAAAACGGCTTAGCATACTGACCAATCAAAATGAGGGTAGCATTTTGGTAGAGGTAGACGGTAGGTCAAGGTGAGAAAAAGCTGATAGTCACCTGACAGTTTTGATCCTCTAGGTTTGAATCATTTAAGGGCTCTGTAAGTTACAACATACATCCATGTCGGGTCCAGGCAGAGGGACTAGCTCTCAAGAGAAATACTGAAATACAGGGGACCCAAAACTAGGGGGGCCATCTACAGAAGGTAAAAATTCATTTATGTGAAAAGGTAACTAGTTCCTACCCTTAAGTCAGTCTCCACTGGCCCCTTTCTTACCAACCTGCCAAAAGTCTAAAGCTGAACAAAAGCCGAATGCAGCCAGCCTGTGTGCCTGTGTGGCCTACTGGGACAAAGGCAGCAGTCAGTTTTGCCAGGGACGCTCCTGACGTGGAGGAGAGGGGAGCCACTTACCTTAAATCTGTCGACAGCAACTGATGCTTCTGAGAGGGATTTTACTGAGAACGGAGTTACTTTCAAAGCAAAAGTCATGGAATTGAAGACAGTCACCACTGTGAAAGCCTAAAAAGAAGAATAAGAAGAAAAGGAGCCTGACTAGCCTATTCAACCAAAATCATAAGAAATCATCAATTTCCCTTCAATTTAAGGAAGGATACAACTTGACTGTCAAATGTTGGCATGAATCAGATACCTTTTTTTAAAGGTAGAGTTTTTATGAGTCCTTCCATTAAATTTTGCAGTAAGTCTAAACCACAGGATGATCTATATTCTTAGAATCAAACCCAAAGTCAAGTTGACTAAACACAACCCATCCATTATTTATGCATTAGGGCTGAATCTTCACTCTTCCACTTTCTCGGCTTCATCACAAAAAAAATACCTTCTGATTATTAGGCAAACTCCCAAATCCAGAAACAAGAGGACCAGAGCACCTCTGTAGGTGGTACTTCTAGATTTCCCCAAGCCCTGAGGGCTCACTGACCTGTGCCGCCGTGAGATCGAAACCCAGGGTCATGTGAACTGAGAATGTCACCACACTGGCGATCACCATCACAATGGGAGCCACACCAACGGTGATGCTCTGAAAGTACCCAGCTTTTTCCAATATCCGTCGCTCCTCCTCTCGTATTTCTAAGAACAAAAAGGAAGCCAATTTCTAAAAAGCAAGCCAAAAGAAACCTGCAACATTGCTCCTCTACCACCAAGTAAAGCTCGGAAGGTCTTCAGGCACAAGTTTTAAAATGGCCCTTTAGCCTGGCCAGTGCAGCTCAGTGGTTGAACATCAACCTATGAACAAGGCAGGAGGTTGGGGTTCAATACCCCAGTCAAGGTGTGTGCCTGGGTTTTGGGCTCTATCCCCAGTGGGGGATGTGCAGGAGGCAGCCAACTAATGACTCTCTCATCAATGATGTTTCTATCTCCTCCCTTTCTCTCTCTGAAATCAATAAAAATATATTAAAAATAAAATAAAATAAAATAAAATGACACTTTAACTCCTGCGATGTAAAGACTAGGTCACTAGAGCTGTCAATTCCTGTCACTGAAGCTAGCACACAAGCCTGAGATTTGAAATGGATCAAATCACAGGAATGAATCTAACAGTAAACAGCACTACATAGCATTACAATGATCATCTTTTGCCTTAGTCTGATTCTCCCTGCAAATTTCTTCTGTTTAGAAGGATCGAACACATGAATTATATCCACAATGGGCAGTTTTATTTGCTGACCTGGCTGTTGTTTATTTCTTGCCTCGGTACTTACAGGAAAGACTGTACAACAGTAATGGAAAATTAAAAGGAACTAAGATTTGCTAGAATGCCTACTGTAAACTGGCACTGGGACAGAGGCCTCCACACAAAAAGCAGGGAGGGTGATCAGAAGATGAGTGAAATATAACTTTTGTAGGCAGACTGATTTTCTTAAATATTTGCAAAAGTGACACCCTTATTCACAGAGCAGCCCTAGAGTAATGAGACCGTGATATAGGAAACATGATAATAAAGTGGTGAAGTATTTTCAAATAAAATTTTAAACTTAAAAGAAATTCTTCTGAGAGGCTACGTGCTGGCCTAAAAGGTATTACCACTGCTCAAGACATTGGGAACTACTTTGAGCCAGCTCCTTAGTCATATTAAAAAAAATCCAACTCATCACTTTAACATTTATCATACACCTTGTCCAAATCTATAATGAGCAAGAATGCTCTATTCAAACCAACAAACACAGGTAAAGATACCAAAGTCAGGGGCTAAAAGATGAGTGGAACCTCAGAAGATTATAAAACTATAGAACCTGAGAGCCAGAGGGCATATCAGTGGTCACCCTACTACCAATGTGCTTGGCAGATGTCCAGTTAGCATCTATTTGTTCCATTTTATCGGCAACAGGCTCACTACTGAATGAAGCAGCCTAATTGACTGCTGGACACTTCTGAGTGGTCCTGCTCTGGATGACTGCTCACATATAAAGTTTATGAACTGGACACAAGGTTCCTGAAGGTTTAATCGACAAACTAAGCAGTGAAAATGAAACAGCTTCCTTGATCTGAACACTGTAGTTCTATCCAGCCTAAAACTGCATTTAACTTTTTAGCTTTAGTGTATTCAGGTTAGCTGTAGTGTATTATGAGGTGATGGTCAATTAACATACCTTTTATGTTTAAATTACTTTTATATGTAACTATATCTTCTTTTTTAAACTCTAAAGTGTCTTTAAATATATCCCTCTTAAATTTTGCTTTTTTTAAAGGCCCATCATTCCAACTTTTGTTGAGATCTTTTTGAATGCCCAGTCTATACTAATTATTCCTCCAAGCTTTGTGGCACTAACATATGACATGTTTATGTCTTCAGTAAATTTATGGATTAGAAGGCCCAGCACTAAGAACATTGTGACTCAGCATAAATTAATCGCTTGAAAAGATAAAAATAACACACCAGAAAACCCTGAGTGAGTAACAGAGCTGGGTCCAGGTATCCTGACCCCTCATCCAGCGCTTCTCCCAACACCCCTTTCCCCAGGATCTCACACCTAACTACCTCTGGTGCACATACACCCACAGAGCACAGAAGGCAGAAGTGGAGTTCTCAGCAGCCATTTGATATTGTTTTCTGTGATGTCATCATGGCCACACCAGAAAACTATGGGCAGGATGAGAGTAAAGACAGTGACCTTTGAAACTGAATGCTCATAACTAGCTGAATTATCTTGGGGGGAGCAGGGAATCAGTTTTCTCAGGTCTCAATTTCCTTATCTGTGAGATGAGGTAACAGGTATAATTCGCTAAGATCCCTATTGATGTAAAGTTCATGAGATATTATTAGAACATAAGTTATTATGATCCTATGACTTTAGGATTCCTAGTAGCTAAAGTGCTCAGGAAGCAAAGAAGCCAAAGTCCTTCTACCACATGCACATTTGAAGTCTGTAAACTCACTTTGAACACCCTGAGAAAATGCTTTGACCCAGGCATACATTTTAATAAATTTAATGTATGTGAGGACTTCATTCATTTTCTGGACACGGTCATCTGTGGTGGTTACACATTTTCTCCTGAAATATGCAGTGATCCGTGATACAAACATCTGAAAGGAAAAAGAGATGTTATGCCAAATCAGAGCTTATCAAACTTAAGAATTGCCTGGTCTTTCTGGGAAATAAATCTGTTTAAGATTATTATAAATAAAATGAGTGTCATGTAGCTGTTTTTAATAAAAGTGGTCTACTAAATTAGAATCAAATATTATTCAATTCTTATCCCTTTGCAAGGAAGCCAAGACAAACATTTGTTCTCACAGTAATCCAAGGTATTGAGTGCTGCCCAGCCAGGCGTGCTCAGCGGTTGAGCATCAACCTATGATCCAGGAGATCTCAGTTTGATTCCCAGTCAGGGCAGATGTCCGGGTTTCGGGCTCAATCCCCAGCAGGGGACATGCAGGAGGCGGCCGATCAATGACTCTCATCATTGATGTTTTTCTCTCTCTCCCTCTCCCTTCCTCTCTCTGTAATCAATAAACATATAGTTTAAAAAAAAAAAAAAAGATATTGAGTGCTACCACAGGGAAGCAGGAGAGCCATATTAGTTAGTATCAACTTGGGACGGAGTGACTCCAACACTTGTGTCACCCGGGGGCAGGGTTCACCTGCTGCTCTTCTCCTTCACTCAGATTCTCTCTTTTTAAAACTCATTAGGAGCCACTGCCTCTATTCAAGGGACAGCTTACTTCCTCTCAAGCCCAAATTCTGCCTGTACGGACTGAGCACTGTCTAGCTCCTTCTAGACTTTTCCAACCCATGACCTGCTTTGAGGAAATTTCCAGCAAGAGATGTGAGACTTCTGCGGTGCCTACTATATATAACCCAGTGGAAGTAACTTATCTGAGGAGAAGCTGCCCAAACACAGCAGGGAGGCTTACTCACCATTGCTGGATAAAAGAGTATAAAAACAGCTGATCCCAGGAAGCCTGTTGGCCCCAGAATAATCACATTATAGATCATGCCCAAGATGGCAACAATGGGTCCTCCAGCCAGCAAGCTGCCAACGGCCGCGGCCTCAAACATCCTCTGCCCGTCGTTGGAGCACAGGTTGATGAGCTAGGAGACACGGAGAGCAATGAGAGGGCCCTGCAAGGATGCGCTCCCCTGCCTCAGGAGGAGAGCACAGGACAGAGCAGGGGCCTAAAGGAAAGAAAGAGCGCGAGCCGGGAGCTTTCTCTCTGACTCACCTCGCCCACGGACTTCTCCTTAATGCTCTTTAACTTAAGGATCTTCTTAAATGCCATGGTGAGGATGGCCCCCCGCAAGCGGACACCGGTTCGGTAATTCAACGCCCACGTCAGTGCAAGTGACCAAGAGCGCACGATTTCCGTCAGGAGGAGGCCCAGGACTAACAGCAAGCTGTACTTGAGGTTAGAATCTGTGCCCTGGGAGTACTCCAAGAGGTGTTTCACCATGAAGGCCTACAGGGAGAAACACACGCCGCCGTCAACATCTGCGCAGCACCCACACACCACGCCACAGCTTTATGTTAAGTTAGAAAGAGGAGGCAGCCCCGCTGTTCAGTGGCAGGTGTATACGCAGGGAAACACCTCCTTGGAGGCCCGAACATCACTGACGACCTGCCTGCAGAAACTTCCTCAGGGCATCATGCAGGAGGTAGCTCTAATTGGAAAGGTTCTTCCCTAAGGACACCACCACAGTTGTTACTCTTTCTAATGTAACATAAACCTGTCCATGAGCTGAAATTAACTCTAAACACACAGCCATTAAAAAGTATATATTTGACCTTATTCCAGCATCTCCACACATTGATACATTTCTTTAAATGAAATTAAGACCTCTCTTTGGATCGTAACGTGCTTATTTGATAAAAAGGAACAGTGTACCTACAGTTGGACTGGGGAAGAGTGAGAAGTGCATTTGCAAAACATTCCTGAAAATAAACATCAGCAGTTTAATAGCACAGAAGGGAGCAAATAAAGCAGACTTTCACAAATCCAGAGACCCTCCCATGGGCCCTCCCCACTCCCCGCTCCCTCCCAAAAACAAAAACATGTTACCTCAGGTAGCATATGTCTAACACCACCTGCAGTGAGGAAGGCAGCCAGCCCCCAAGAACCACCGAGTGCCACCTCCAGCTCTGAGGTCCTGCAACGCCGGAGCACACACTCACACAAGGCACATTCAGCAACAGGATTAAATACCAGGAAGTGGGAGGTAATGTACTTTTATTGAAAATGAAAAAAAAAAAGTACCATCTTCAAAGAGCATCTCACAGACACTGTACAACAGGAGGAGCATTGCGGTAACATACATGGGAACATACAGAGTCGAGTTATACAAGGCTAGCCATCTAACAGGTCATCTGGCCTCCAACCGTCGTTTTAGCCACACACAGCGGAAATACAGAATAGAACCAGTATCTGTTTCCAGAGTCCGGAGTAGTACATCAAGCTGACAGCACTTAACCAGTCAGGGCTCCTGACGCTGCAGTGAGTCTGCAATGGAGTAGATTCTCCAGGAATAAAGAACTTGCTGCTAAGGAAAGAGAGTTAAAACAAAACAAAGCCAAAAACTCCCCAAAGAGGTAAATCGCTGATGCTATTGGTTCACTAGGCTGTGAGGAATGACTTCTGCTCAGGACAGAATACAAAAATCTAGGCCTCGAGGAAAAACGGGTGTCATCCTTCAGTCTTTTCAAGTCCTTGCAGCTAAAATTGATCTTGCCAAAAATGAAACAAAACAAGCCACAACCAAAGAAAGCCAAACCAATCCCCCACCCAGAAGGAAGGAAAAAAAAAAAAAATGAATGAGAAACCCACCCACCCATCTACCCCAGATCCTTCTAGCAAAGGGTGCTGTAGCTGGAAGCCAGCTCTGAATGACAGACAAAAATGGGAGGCCAGAACAATTGTCCTGAGGCAGCTAATGCTGAATTCCAGAACCCAGACTCTCTCTGAGTTAATTGGTATTTCTCATTTTTCCTGAGAGGAAATTAATGCCAGATGTCCACTAGATCCTAAGAGATCCCCACCAATCAGATTTACTTCAAGTCTCAGTAAATAACCTGATCCAATAAATAGGAGATTGCAGATTCCAAGAACTATTGTATTCCACCTTTCCCTCCCTCAGATTTTTAGGTTTATATCCATTGTTTGGGTCACCACTGCATACAGCTGAGTTGTTGCTTTACTAGCAAGAAGGGTGGCTTCTTTTCCAGTATGCAATCCAAAATGTGGAACTGAGTCACTGAGTGGCAGGGTGAAACCCCATTTTCCTCACGTGAAGCAACTCAGTAAGATGGCAGTGCAGTAAAGCATTTTCTCACACACCTCGGCACCGATGGAACAGTCTCCAAAGGAAGGCGTGAAAGGACAGCAGGTTGTAGTTTGGGGTTCTTTCTTTCCCATACCTTTAGAGTACCATACCATTTTTCAGCACTGGTAATAGCATGAGTACCTCCCACAGGGGAGGAGCCAGGGGAAGGGAAAAGACATAATGAATGCTTATACTATGCAAAACTTTCAAAGGGGGGGGAAAAGAGGAAACAGCAGATTAAAGCATTTCCAACAACAGGGTTTTTAAAAAGCAATTACATTTCAAACCATTCTGTATGGGATAAAGAAAAAAAAAAAAAAAGGTTTTCATGGCAAATCCAACCAAAATGTAGTTTTAAAAAGTTACAAATTTATCATGTAAATTTAAACAAACTGGGAGAAAACTTGGGATTATCAGCATAGCTGTCTGGCTGTGGAAAACATTCCCAGTGAATAAACATTACCTTACCTGAACTCTTGGCGAGAGATTCTGCCCAGCTTGACTCTCTCATTCTGACCGCAGAATACAGCCAATCCTGAAAATTCTAAAGAACAGCTTCTGTCACTGGTTCCACTACAGAGAGACTCCCCCCAAATCCAGATTCTGACAGCACCAAGCAAGCTGCAGCTGGAGAGAGGTTGGAAGGGTGGAAAACTTACCTCTCTAGAGGCTTTTCACTGTCCTTTCCCCAAAAGGCCCTTGAGCTGAGTTAGCATTCACCAAGAGATAGCTCTGCAGGAGGTAGCCTTCTCTTGCAGATCTACAGGGCAGATGCTAATTCTTTACACACGCATCATAGGTCAGGCCTGGTCTTTTAAACTGTTTTAATCCAGGAAGGCCATACAAATCAGCTCTGTAAATTCAGCAATTTGGTGCCTCATCTTAGCTCAGGACCATACCCTTATAGATTCTGGTATTCCATTAACATTATGGTGATCCTTGGATACCCTGTACGGAGTGCTGGTCCACTGGCATCACTGAATCCTTGGATCATCTTGATCACAGATGCCCATCCCTGGCTGGCCAGCCGTTTAAAAACAAAACACAATAGCCTGATTGTGTTTCACCTGTTCTGCATATGGCCAGCAAGGTTCAGTGAGGCCTGAGGGGGAGATGAGAAATATGCCATATTTGGGGAGTGGGTTCTCATGTAGATTTCTGTAAGAACAGATGAAGCCAGTTTGAAAGTTGTGCCATATTAGCAAATGTGCAAAAATCTAAAAGGGATGTTCCTCGAAAGGATTTAATCCACAGACAGAAGGTATGCACATGGCTAGTACTAATCTCAAAACCAGCCTGTTTTTTAATTTCCAATCGAAAATAAATTTATTAGAATTGGAGCTCCAAAAAAAGAAGTTTGCATTATTTACAATTTTAAATCTTTTTATCAATGAGAGAGACTGTGGACAGGACCATTGCTTTCTCACTTGTTCTAGGATGAATCTCATGAACTAATACAGGCCTCAAGGTGCTCTTCCCCAAGGGCAGAGAGAAGGAAAAGCATGCTGCTGTTTTCCTATTAAAAGACAACTCTCTCAGCTTTCCCTGGCATCTAGAAGAATTTACTAAAGAGTATTTCAGTGAGCTGTGCCTTAAAAGATTAAGGAGTACATAGATGCTCAAGGCAATGACTGTAGGCCCCCAAAGTGAACATGCATACGTAATTTTTTTCCCAAGTAAAAAATTAAAATTCCAACAACCTATGGAATATTTTTTTGGTGAGGGGAGCCAAAGAAGTTCTTGCATTGGCCAAATGTAATCCAGAAAGCCTGTATAGTGTGCTACCCAGTCAAAAGAATTCTATGAAGGATCAGAGCAGCCACCAGCCCTGTAGTGAAACAATGACAGAAGCTCTTCTTGGGGGAAGCTGGCCCTATGAAAACGTTTGCTGTTCTGGTCAATAACATAATATTCAGTTACACAGTCCCTCTTACTTAAAACTTACACAAAAATGTGTTAGTTGGTCAATTAACATAGAAACCCAATACCAGAAAAGTAGTGTTCTCTGCTTCAGAAAAGAGATCAAAACGGTTTTTAAAAAGGCATCAAACGTTAAAAAAGAAAAGAAAAAAAAACTCAGTAGAAAAATTGTAAATTAGTTTTACCTAATCACCATGCATCTTAGGCACATACTTACCAAAACTATGAACCTCCAGCTTACCCATACATGGAAAATGCACAGTATAGTAGCACTACTGCTCCGATGCCTCAAGGCAAATATGTAGAAAACAGATTTAATCAAAGGCTCAAGTGTAAGGCAGCACAGCAGGTGTAAGAAACAGGTGTCCAGCATACAGGTGAACATCACTCTTACCTACTCTGCTTCAGTACACACTAGGAAAAAACACGACTGCCACCCCAACACTTGCCGCACAATTTACACTATAGACAAACTGAAAATGGACTCCAGGTTAGACTCTGAAAACCTCCACAGTCCTCTAGTTTCTTCAGGACTCATTTGCCACAGAAAAGTCAAACATGTGACAACTGTGCCTCCAGGCGTTTGGTACGTCGCCAGCACTAGCTCAACAGCCTATGCCACACAAGGTTGCTCTTGCCCACTCACAGCACCGAGAGACACACCTTCTCGAACCAAGACTGTCATTTCATGTCAACACACAGCAAAGGAGCACAGTCCTGGGCAGAGCTGGAATCATTCAGTTTCACCCCCATCCCAGGAGAGCAAGCCAGTTCCATTTCTTATCTGGCAACTCTTTCCACATCCTTCCAGCTACTGACAAGCCACCACTCACTCCAAAATCAACTGTTCCCTTTCCACAGGCCTAGAGGCATCTCTAAGGCTGCTAACTAGCCCAAAGGTGAGCATAACCCCTGCAACGGAACAAGAGTGTTAGAGCTGGCCATGGCTGGGCCCCTGGAGACTGTCAGAAAGGATGGTTAGAACTTACTGGTCCACTGAAGCCAGCCAGCTGCGTGATCATCAGGCACACGATGGAGAGGATGAGCCTGGTGCGACAGAAGATCCACACAACCCTTCGGAGGGAAGCAGCTTCTGGCCCAACTTCATTCAGCTCTTCTTGCCACAGTCTCTCTAGTCTTAACAAGGGCACATGTCCTCTGTTACACATCGCCCCAGGGGATATACACACCCTAGCTTCCCTCCTGCCATCACTCTTTGTCTCCAGGTTTTCACACCCCTCACAGGAGTCTTTTATTTCAAATTATGTACATAGCCTTCATCTTCTGGAAAAAAATACCCTTCCTGGGTGACTATATATTTACCCTGCATAGGGAGCCTCTCAGGATACAGAAAATGATGAGAACAAAAGTCTTTCCTTCCACCCAGAAAGATTATCCCTGCATAGCATTTGTTTGTGGATAAGAACGTCCTTTCTCAAGGGTCCCCAACCCTTTCTGAAGGATCCTGTGGTAAAATGTAAGGCTGTAAACTAGATTTTAATCATGAAAATCAGCTACCACAAAAATGTATTCTGTCACAAGGCAGCAACATAATCTCCCTGTAGACTCAGGAAGACAAGCGGGGCTGAGAGAGAGAGAGAAAGCCCGTGGTTAAAACAGGATTAAAGGTGAAATAGGAGATAAAGCAGAAGAGCAAAGAGAAAGTCATCCCAGGCTACCCTCCCTCCATCACTAGCTCCGATCCTAAAAGGACACAGAGCTGAGGACTTCACCATGGCTGGACCCACACTCCTAGCTCAGCCCCTATGTATCCAGTATGTGGGACACTGGGGTGGACCAGAGACGCCTACCTTCTGCAGTTCACATCGGAAGACTCGTACTTGGACAAAGACCACACATTCTCCATGGAGAGCTCCCCCTTCTTGTGGGCCAGGCGGGCCAAGGGAGAAAGCCAAGAAAAAGTCATACAGGAGAAGAGCCCAGCATTGTCCACTGGGTGCTGGTGTCTAATGAGAAAAAACCCAAAACACAAAACTGTCAACACACACCAAGAGGCCAGCCAGCATTTATAATACACTGCTTAGTAAATAGAGCTCTAACAAAAAATGGGGCTCCCCAAATGGTCTAATCTTTGCCCAAATTTTCAACACTGCTTTTGGGGCTTCACGAAGAAGTCATCAACTAGGGGAGCTTCTTACTTGGAAGTGGTCCGAATGGGCTTCAGAGCACTTAAGCTGTGATGGTACTTTCCCTTCGGATGTTCCTCATCCAGGATTCTGAGCTGAGAATGCGTACAGGCATCCAGGGAAAGGCCCTCAGCTCGGGCTGCTGTTTCCAAGGCATCCTGGCATTCCAACTGTTTGGGCAGATAAGGAGAGAAGACATGAGAGCATCAGAACATAGACAGGAGCAAATCTACCTGACATAACAGCTCAAACTGCAAGCCAGAGTCATCTCAACTGAGAAATTCCAAAGGTCAAGGGGTTGAACCTCAACTTGTATGGTACATGCTTGCTAAGGAACATTAAACCAGATACCTAAAACTTCTAAACTAATAGACTTCATTTTATTTTATTTTATTTTTTTTTAGCACTTTTAGGTTCAGAAACATTGAGCAAAGTACAGAGTTCCCATGTACCTCTCACCTGCCCTCTCTCATCCCCTTCCATTTCCCATTAGGAATATCTTGCATTAGTGTGGCTCGCATCTACTGATGAGCCAATTCTGATACATTACTATGAACTGAAGTCCACAGTTTACATCAGAATTCACTCTTTGTGTTGTACACTCTAAAATTTCTATTTTGTTGGCAAAATATTTTAACTTTCATTTCCCAGTATGGACTTGGAGTCAATTACTTCACTAATAACTGAAAATTCTTTTGCCCATTTTCTGTGACAAAAAATTGAAGATCATCCCCAATTAAACAGCCCTGTCACCCAGGAAAAGCCAGGATATACACATGCCCCCTGTCCTTCCCTCATATCAGCAACAGGGAGAGCAGAACAGGGTTCTCGCCCTGGCTGCACAGCTAAAGAGCTCCAACACCCAGATTTCTGCAGCATGAAGCAGAGGGTCTCATGAGTTGAAATACAAAGTTATACATATTTGCTATAAAACTTATAAATATCAATTAATCAGATTAACAAAGATGCATGTACTTCACTGTCTGACTGTGGCAAGAATCCATCCCCATTTACTCTAAAAGTAACTCGAAGAGCATGTCTTCCTGTTAGAGAAGCAGCAGCATTTTTCCTCAAGTAAGGATTCTAAGTACACCATCCTTTTCTCACATCATCACAAATTTTTCCAGCAATTACTGTGAAATAGAAAAAAAGAATAGATCCCCAATCGAGAAAGTTAAGAGCTGCAGCACCTAACACACATGCGCCTTACACAAAATAGAGTCTCTACTGTTACACACCACCCCCTTTCCACACAGAAGAGATGCCAAATATCAGCTGAACTGAAGGAGCGGATCATGCATAGGGATCATGGGCACGGGCGCCTAGGTAGATCACTCCTCAAATACAATAGCTTTAGTTCACAGGCCAGGTGCTGCTGCTTAATACCAGGAAACTACACAGCCCAGGCAAGAGGGAAGCACATTTTTTTCCTTTGTCGAAGGCAAGGCAGGCCAGTCTCATGAGAACAACACCACAATGACAAATGAATCAACATGAAGGAAAAATTGATTAACTCGTACAAAGTCCTTAGGCATAAGGTGAACACTGATTTAGTGGTTAGGGATTATAGACCTAATAACGAACTAAATAAAGGCTGCTGAGATTCAAGTACACACAAAGGTTTTTTTGTTGGATTTTTTTTTAAACCTTTAGGCAACCCAAAACCACAAGGGGAGGAAAAGAAAACCATTGGAGCGATAAAGAAGAAAGTTACACTAAAAATACAAACATACCTACTTTGCGGAAGTAGAAACTGCAAATAGGTACAGAGTAGGCACAGAATGTGACAAGGACCAACCTTATTTGGGTATCCAAAACCCCAGAAGACAAAGAATGAAAGTAATACCACTTCAATCGCACACTGGATGGATATCTGCCAATGGACTATATGCTGGGCCATAAAGTGAACCTCAACCAATTTCAAAAGACTGACATTATACAGTGTATGGTCTCTGACCACTTGGGAATGTACTTAGAATTTAGTAACAAAGATAACAAGAGAAGTCTCCAAATATTCAGAAATTATGCAACACACTTCTAAATAATACGAGTTAAAGAAGACACCAAATGGAAATTAGTAGAAAGTCTGAGCTAAATGGTAAGAAATTATAACACATCGCAATCTGTGGGATGCTGCATACAGTGAAATTGTGACTGCTTTAAAAGCATATATTAGAAAAAGGAGAGTGAAAAGTCAATGCTCCAAGCTAGCACTTGGCAAAATTTTCTATAATGGGCCAGACTGTAAATATTTTAGGCTTGTGGGCCAAGAGGTAAAATCGAGGACATAATTTAAGTACTTATATTACAAAAGAAAACAAATTTCCACAAAATGTTTACTGAAAATATTCAAAAAATAATAACTGAGTACAATTTTTTTGTGTGTAATACAGGTCTACTAATGAGAAGAATTCCATTCAGATGGGCAGAGCAGGGCTGGGACCTCACACAGCAACTGTGCTGGGCATATGCAGGAATGCCAGCTGGTTCTGACTTAGTTTGCTCTATAGGAGACCCCACGATGCCCTGTGTGCACCCAGAGATCTGAAACCCTCCAGCAAAATCGGGGAACAAAGCAAGGGCTCTGGGCAGAGACAGGGGTGCATAAGTCAGGGCTCCAGGTCATTCTGACCCTGGGCATTGCCCCTGGCCACCTCCCCTGGAAACAAACCCCTCCAACATCAGGGCCCCAACCCCCAGGCTGCGTCCTCAGCCCCAGTTATACCACTCAGTGTAGCTTGGACACAGAACTTAGGAAGACACGCAACTCAAATGAGCCTCACCAGAAGCAAAGGCTCCCACCTGGGAGGCTCCTGAGGCTTCTCCTAAAACAACCATGCCTCAGACTCACCTGAGAGGTTCCCACCAAGCTCCAGGAATAGTGGAGATAGTTCACAGGGTCCCGCTCAGGACCAGACCCACTTAGAGAAGGTCATCCGAGCGGGGAGGACAGTCATGAGCAGAATGCTGTGGTGGACCTGCCAGCTCCAGTGCCACCTGCCCAGGTCACAGCTGCTCTGAATATTTATATCACAAGGCAAGGGGACATCCATCTGCCCAGATTTCTCAGGTGCTTCCCTCCCTAGAGACATTCCAGGTTAAAGATACACATAAATCCCCTATAGATGTCACATTCCTTATCTTGCTGGTGTGAATGTGGGTATTTAACATAAAACTGCCAACATTAGAAAATCAATTAGAGATGTAAACAGGTGGGAACCATGATGACCCCCTGGGGCAGAAGCACCATTTGGAAGGACTCAGGATCCTTGGCTGCAAACATATCCTGTGGTGGGCAACTGCAGATAGGATGCCCACCAGGGGTTCACATCTGGCCGGCTGCTCCCTTCCTCATTAGGGCCTGCTGGCAGATCCAGTGCAGAATCCACCTTTCTTTGCTCTGGGGCCAAAGGGCATTCCTGAAGCTCCTCTGCTCCCTCACCCCCTCCTCCAGAGGACTGCATGGAACCTAGCGCCGCCTGCATCTCCTGTTTTGAAAAACCTAACTCAGCCTGTCTATTGGCAATGAGTGGCTGGCTCAGCTATTCCTTCCAGAATCATCCACATCCATCCAAGCCTGACTTGCAAAACCAGGCCAAGATCTTGGGGGCCCAATTGCTAAGGAAACCAAACCCATTAGAACACGATGGTGTGCAAGACACTGGGTGTACCCCAACCTGGATAACGCCTGGATGGCTAGAACCCATCCCAACACACACAAAGATGGCATGTGAACTCTGGAGTAGTGTTAGTGTTTTCCAGACTCAAAGGCATCCAGTTTCCTTTTTCTTTTTTTTTAAATTTATTTATTTATTTTTTAATCCTTACTGAGGACATGCTTTTACTGATTTTAGATAGAGAGGAAGGGAGGGAGAGAGGAACATTGATCGGCTGTTTCCCTGTATGTGCGCCAACCGGGGTTCAAACCCACAGCCTGGGTATGTGCCCTGACCTGAAATCAACCCATGACCTTTTGGTGTATGGTATGATGCTCCAACCAACTCAGCCACATTGGCCAGGGCAGTATCCAGTTTCTTGCAAGAAACATCAGTGGCTGCCTAGGAAGCTTTGCCTCCTCCCCCAGGGCACAGGCTCTAGTGCCTGGAGTGGGAACCCACTCTCCAGAGCCTGTCCTAAGACAAGCGAGGAGCTCTAGGTGGCAGTGGGGAAGCAAGGGAGACTGAAGGGCCAGCTCCCACACATGGGGGCTCCCACCCCACACTGTGAGGTTTGCAGTGAACAAGTGAGTATATGTAAGAGACAAACAACACAAACACATTGTGAGTGGGAGACGAAAGTATTCTCAGTACATTCTTCCTAAAAACAAAGTACAAAAGTAAAATAAAGACTACTATTAAGAACCATTAAAAAACACACACAGTATGAACAAAAAAGTGAACAGCCTTAACAACAACAAAATCCTTATTGAATGAGTTTTGTTTCTTTGACTCTATATAACAATGTCATGTCCCACCATCTCCTGGGTAGTAAGTTACTTCCTCTATCGGAGAATGCCAAATTCAAAGGCTCTTCTAATGAGAGCTGGCAGGCAAGGTTTCATTCCCCAGGAGTATTATGAGTGCTATACCAGAATTATTAAATGTCTGTAACATAATAGAGACTGAGGGCTCTTGTTCTGTTTTTTATTTTAGAACAAAGAACTCAGTATAATTTTATCCTGACAATGATAAGCCCATGTAAGTAGTTGAAACAGCACCAATCCTCAAATTTTCATATAATAATAAAACATGGAGTAGGAATTCCCACAGTAAGGGTATGGAGAAGTCTCTATTGTTGATCTAAGATTATCAAAAGTTGCCACTCTAAGCAACCCACTTTCTAAGTCATATCCCATTTTGGCTATTTGTTCCTAACCTACTTCCCAAACTGTCAACCTTATTGTCACATCTTACTCACTGCTTAGGTAAGAATGATGAAATCTCTAATGGAGATAAGAGGGGATCCTCTGTTTTGAAGGAAATAGTTCTGTTCCGTATCTGCATGTAGCTACTTCATAAATAGCTCTTGCACAATAAACCAGGTGTTTAGTTGTTGATAAGAACTCCTGTTTGTTAAAATAACATTATTAAGAAAATCCTCTTGCTCCAAAAGAACTATTTTCTCTATGGTCATAAAGTATTAATACCTCCATAGTTGGAGGCTATTGTGC